ATGCATATATAATACAAAAATATATCATATGTGCATATCATAACTATTAGCAATGCAAGGCTCTGAAGGGTAGCAGAACATTCAACCCAAAATACACCTCTCAGCATAACAAATACTATGAGCTAAAGGCAATTGAGAAGTTGATACAAGAGAGCTCTTTACCCTACCCCTGCTTAGCTAAAAGCAAGACATAAATATGTGAAAGAGTTCCCCTTTCCCTCTTTAATGGGAAGGACAAAAGTTACCCTCGTTTGCCCAAAGAAGATACCAAAGGAATCTACATAATAAAATTTATTAACTAGCTTTTATCTTTCATTAGCTCCCCTATATATTTGCCTTCCCATAATTTGCCACTCCTAGAAACTCAAAGTCCATTTCCTGTATTTTGCCACTAAAAATTCATTGTTCTACTGTTAAGATGCTATGTGAGCCCAAGTTATAACCACCCACTGAGTTACTTATCCCATGTATGCATGATGCAGGTGTGACTAAACTTGTTTGTTTTTCTCCTGTTAATCTTTCTGTTGTCGGTATGTTTTACAGGGCCCCAGCCAATGCACCTGAGATGAGTAAAGCAAAAAAGGATTCTTTGCCTCCCCTATGGCTTTACAAGTATAGTGAACCTCTACCAATCTAGAGGACTTCCCACATGCCAAGTGGCAAGTTGAACTTTACTAGAAGTTTAAATAAAAATAGTTGCTTCAAGGGAATGGGGCAGGACTGGATGTTTCTTGTCCTGTTCTTATTTAGTGGTTCATGTTCTTTACACCAAGGAAATGCCAAGTAATTAGTGTAGGGCAAGTGAGAGAGTGGTACATGACAGAAGAGTAGATTATGTTTAAATATTTGACAGATTACTCCAGAGCTCCTCAACCCTTTTTAAATGATAGATGGATGGGTGGCACAGAGGGTTCCACCCCAGATCGTCCGCATCAAAACACCAGAGGGTGAGGCTAAGCTTTCTCTTTCTTTTTTTTTTCCTTTCACCTGTAACTCCCCAATGCAACTGGAACAAGTAACCTCAGCTTTCCTCCAACCTAAAAGACCCCATTTCTCTTCAACTGTTTCTTTTTCATCCATCACTGTAGTCAGATTATTCTAATTTTGGACACTTAACAGCACAGAGTCTTGGTCCAAGTATAAAGAAGTTGATGTGTGGGGATATTAATGATTTTCTAAATCTTTGGCAGAACCAGTGTAGCTCTAAAATCCATTGCTCTGCCATACCATGAAATCTGAAAACTGAAAATGAGACATGTCTAAACCCATTAGCCAAACTGGTAATCTCTGCAGGGAGTTCGGTGAGGGCACCCCTTGCACTAATGGGACATATCCTAGGTTCAGGGCTGCTGGAGTATAAAGAGGCAGCAGAATAAACACACACCAACACAGCCATTCCACAAACAGTATCCACACCAAGCTGCCATGCTGGAAGATTCAACACTCACTCTTAAAACAAACCTACTACTCAAAGTAGTTTTGCATGTACCTTTACAGACCATAATTTATGGCTTTTTTTACAAGAAGGAGGAGGAGGAAAAGCTGGTATCAAAAGGAATTCTGATATTTTAAGCATTATTTTTGAAAAAAGGTAAACAATTTTCTCTCTGGAAATTACTGAGTTTTCAGGTGTTTCATATTGCTTGTGCAAAAGTAGTAAACAGTGAGCAGAATTAAATGGAAGAGCCTAGAATTCACTCCCACTTATGATTCTGAGATTCATGGCCACATTTGTTTCAACATTACCTTAGAATATTTTTGTTACAATATTAATTAGGAGTTTTGAATAATTACCTATGACCTTCTAAGTAAATTAGGGTTTTGTGTGTGTGTTTATTGTATTTGTTTTTTTTAAATATCAGTAAATCATCCCTATTAAAATACCAATGGCATATTTCACAGATATAGAACAAACAATTCAAAAATGTATATGGAATCATAAATGACCCCAAATAGTTGCAGCAATTTTGAGAAAAAACAAAGTAGAAGAGATCACAATGCCTGATATCAAACTATACTATGAGGCCACTATAATCAAAGCAGTCTTGTACTGGCACAAAAACAGACACATGGATCAATGGAACAGAAGAGAGGGCCCAGAAATACACCCATGTCTCTATGCTCTGTTAATATTCAACAAAGGGGTTAGAAGCATAAAATGGAGTAAAAAAATAGCCTTTTCATCAAATGGTGTTGGGAGATCTGGACAGCTACATGCAAAAAAAAAAATGAAACTCAACCACCAATTTACACTATGTAGAAAAAATAAACTCAAGATGGATAAAAGACTTAAACATAAGTCATGACACCGTAAAAGTCCTAGAGGAGAACATAGGCAGGAAAATCTCAGATATTCCACACAGCAATATTTTCACTGATAGGTCCCTTAGAGCAAGGGATATAAAAGAAAGAATAAACAAATGGGACTACATCAAATTAAAATGATTCTGCACAGCTAAAGAAAACATCAGCAAAATGAAAAGGGAACCAACCATGTGGGAAAATATATTTGCCAATGATAACCTGGACAAGGGTCTGACCTCCAAAATATATAAAGAACTCACACAACTCCACTCCAGAAAGACAAACAATCCAATTAAAAAATGGAAAAAGGACCTGCACAGATACTTCTCCAAGGAGGACATACAGAGGGTCCAGAGACATATGAAAGAATGCTCAGCATCACTAGCCATCAGAGAGATGAGAATTAAAATCACAATGAGATACCGCTTCACACCTGTCAAAATGGCCAACAAATCAACAAACAACAAGTGCTGGCGAGGTTGTGGAGCAAAGGGAACCCTAGTACACTGTTGGTGGGAATGTAGACTGGTGTAGCCACTATGGAAAACAGTATGGAATTTCCTCAAAAAAGTAAAAATGGAACTGCCTTTTGACCCGGTAATTCCACTCCTGGGATTATACCCTAAGAATCCTGAAACACCAATTCAAAAGAACCTAAGCACCCCAGTGTTCATAGCAGCACAATTTACAACAGCCAAGTGCTGAAAAATGCCTAAGTGCCCATTAGTAAATGAGTGGATCAAAAAATTTTGGTACATTTACACAATGGAATACTATGCAGCAGGGAGAAAGAAGGAGCTCCTACCCTTCATGACAGCACGGATGGAACTGGAGAGCATTATGCTAAGTGAAATAAGCCAGGGGCTGAAAGACAAATACCATATGATCTCACCTATAAGTGGAACCTAATCAACAAAACAAACAAGCAACCAAAATAGAGCCAGAGATGTGGAAATAAAGAACAAACTGACAGTAACCAGAGGGGAGAGGGATAATGGGGGAAAAAAGGGGAAGGGTTGTCAAGGGACATGTATAAAGGACACATGGACAAGGCTGAAGGGGAGGCAGGACTGAGGATGGGAGGTGGGGCAGGGGAGAATAGTAGGGGGAAAGAAATGGAGACAACTGTACTTGAACAACAATAAAATATTATAAATCAATAAATATCATAGTAAATAAAAGTTGCATTGTCCTCAATATACCTGAAAGTAAAGCATATATTCCACTTATGGGCATATTTTCATTATTGATACTTGTAAGTAATTCAACATGTCTTGCTTTGCCTTGCCTTGCCTTGCCTTGTCTTGCATTGACCACTTGCCAAATTAACACACAATAAACAAACAATTACACTGCCCACGCAAAGACTTTTTTAAATGTAATTATTTCCGGGGCCTAGACTGAAGCCCAGCTAACCAGTAGCTGCGCACAGTGTGGTGTGTGGACCAGCAGCATAAGCATTGAGGATCTGATTTGCATAATCTTAGGCCCCACTCAGCCCAACAGAATAACGATCTGCATTTAAACAAGATTTAAACGAGATCTTGGGGTGATGGGTATGCACATTAAAATTTGAAAAGCACTAGCCCAGAGCAGTGTTTCTCTTCCACTGGTGGTAAACTGATCACCTACATCAGAACCAGCAGGATGTTCTTCCAAAAGTAGGTTTCTGGACACTACCACAGACTGAGTGAAACAGACTCTCTGGGGTGGAGGCACTTGAAACTGCATTTTAAACAATATTTTTCTCTCGGACTCTTAGGCAATCTAAAGTTTGAGAGTTCTAGAGTAGCATTTTAGAGCATTACAAGTGTTGTCATTTTCCTCTACGTGAGCTTTTCACCAGGCCAAAGTCACTGGGCACAACATACTGAGACTTATACACTAATCAAACACGCACACACAAATGGCATTAAACTAACTGCAAATGGAGAGAAACTGCATCTAGTACTACATGAACCACCCGATCAGGTTCTGCTGAGCATGTCTAATGACATGCAGACTAACCGGTTAAAGTGTTAGAGAAAACAGTGAATAATAATGTCATCACATCTCCTGTGCCTGTTTAATCATTAATCACTTGTACTCCTTTGAAATGTACTTAAAAATCAATTTGATTCTAATAGGTTACTTTCAATACAAGGCAAAGCATTTTCTTTATTCATCAGATGTGAAAAGAAAGAACTCAAAAATATATTTAAAAACCTGTTGGTTTTATTTCTCTTCTATACAGAGAAAGTCTTTATTAATAATTACTAGAGGTGAATTTCCTTTCCAATGCAATCTGAAAAGTGTTACTTGGTACATGTGTTTCCATAAAGGAACCAGTCCATCTTTAATATGTTTAGAAAATCCAGTCAGGTACAATTTTCGCTTTTCCTCTGGATGTTTGACATCAGAAAAACATGACTCAAATTCCATTTTTGCAAGGTCCAAATTACCCCTGCAAACATGTGGACATTCTAAATGTGTTGTATTCCTTTCTACTTACATGTAGCTGACATTTTTGAATTGCCAAACAGTTTGCCTAAGATATGAAAAATACCAGAAAGAGTAACACACAGGTCTTTGTTTTGACTTGCTCTCACAGAAAGTTAAACAAAAAGAAAGGAGACATTAACAGGGATAGGAAGTTACTCCATTTGAAAAACATGAGCAGTTTTTAACACCGTTTTACTTTCAGAAAGATTACATACCTCAGAGTATAGGATTCCCATGCCGGTCCCTCACAGGCTTTCTTCACATCCACAGCTTCCTGAATCCTCTGGAGGTATTTCTGATTAACATTAAAATGCTTCCCGTCAAAGAGGAAGATTCCAGAAGCCCAGATCAGCGGCAAACCCTCTATATCCACACCTGGAAGTGCTTTTCTAGCAACACAGGCAGCTACACCACCTTGTACAGGGCCCAACCCAATGAGACACAGGCATTAGTTACCCAGTGATGACCCACACAGTGCATCATCTAATGTTACAAACAACCCTGAAAAACCGGTTTCTGAGTCTCACCTGCTCTGCCAGTAGTAGTGAGTAGAAAGAAAGAAGCAAAGTTGAGAAGGACAGGAAAGTTCTTACACTGGCAGGAAGAACGCAGAGTTCAAAATAGGGTAGTGCGTTTAGGACATTTCCTGATTGAACTCGGGTTTTCAGAAGCTATTGAGAAAGGCTGGAAACCAGTTAACTTGCATTTTAGAGCCATATGTCTGCCAGAGGGCTTGCTCGACCTTCATGAAAAATAATCTTCAAAACTGTCGTTATGGATTATTTTCTCTCTTTAAGTACGGATAAGTTTATTCTTCCTTGACATTGTTGATTAATATATAATACTAAAAATAATAAATTAAAGTCAATTTATAAGCTAGTATACATACATTATTCTGTTTCTATACATAAATTATTTTATATTTTTATAAAAATATATAATTTCCTATATTTAAATGTGTTCATAATCACTTTCAAGGCCTCTTTGAATAAAGTTTGAGCAACTCAAATTGAAAAAACTAAACTCTTTGAAGAATCCATCCATTTACATTCTAGTTAATTAAATTATAGTAAAAGGTTTAAATTACATTTATAGCATTACTATATTTAAGTATTTTTAGGCACTTCAATTCTGAGCCTAACAGGTAATACTTTTCCAACTAATTAAATGGTCTTACAAGTTTAATAAATTATATTAATATAATAAATATTAAGTTGTCTTAAACATTCTAATGCTGTTTACAAATTTAACCAAATTATTTCCTAATATTCCATTTAAAAACTGTAAGTCTAAAATCAAGTATTCCATTTACATATTTTAAATGGAATCACCAGGCCACTTGTGAAACACGCTAACATGCCAAATCTCTTAAACATTGTAAACATATTATATACTAAATATCAGATATTCAAACATTTTTCCCTGAACTTAACACAATTATAACAAAATGTAAAATACCATACATACACTCCCATGAAAGAAACAGCTCAGTCATTCCAAACATTCTGACAGGATTGTTCCAGTCCATTCAGGTTCTTTAGTGACCAAGGTTAGGCACCAGGATTCATGTCCTGAGCCTATTCAGGGAATTCTTCCTAATCCATTGATCACAGATGAATCATTTTTGTAATTTTTGTAACAAGAATGGCGTACCTCACTATAGACTTGGACTTGGCTCCAAGCTGGTAGGAGTTTAAGAATTTGGTAATTCTGTTGGAGACAGAAAGTCTGCAATACCCTCTAAGATTGCAGCTGACTTCCTCTTTGGCTTGCTTTAATTCTGAATTCTGGAGTTTCTTAGGACATTTAAGTGTATTTCCCATTGACCTAAACGTTGGTATTTCCATTGAAACCTTTCCTTTGTTAGGCAAATCTTTCTTAATCCCCCCTTTAGCTTCTTTTGTAACCTGTTTTAACCAACTTGTGTGGCAGAAGGCTTTGCTCCCACCACCTGTCTCCTCAGGTTGCTGCTGGCTGCCTTCTCCAAGTTCTTCCCTCTCCAATGGAATTTAAGAGGTTTCTCTAATTTCTTATGGCGACCACAATTCATCTAATTGGATTCTGCATCTTGACTCTTCCTGCATCTTAAAGGATAGCAAGATATGCCATTCTGAAAGATGATTCTTTGGCCTAAAGATTATTTTCAATTGATTGTTTTTGACAAACTGTAGAAATACAGGAGAGTCTCTGAACATAGAGGAGCATTTAACCAGTTGTAAGGACTATTTACATTTATAAAAGAGATCTCCATTTGTAAAGGTTTCTTCTGCTTGTATCAGGGAGAAGGAGGACTCTAAATCCCTGGAAACTCTTATCAGCAGAGAAGCCACAGACCCTGCATAACAAATTTTATCGTTGTTTGCTCTGCTTTTCCTGGTAACCTCCCGTAACTGCCCCTTCCCAACATCTTTTCTTTTGTCTTCAGCTCAAATAGTATTTAAAGTGGTGGCTTGGGCCATTCCAGAGAGTTTTTACGCAGCTTTCCTGGGTATCTCCCATGTATACGTGAGTTATGCATCTTATTCAACTTCTGTTTGCTTTTCCCTTGTTAATCTATCTTTTATTACAGAGGTGGGAAAACCTCAGCCAAGAACCTAGAAGAGTATAGGAAAAATTACTTATTCTCCCCTACAATGTAGTTAGTTATAAATGCACTATTCTCTTTATGATGATGAAAAGTGAACTCTTTTGACGTGTGGTTGACTCTAAAAACAAACTGTAGCATCCAGCAAACACGAGAACAAATATCGGAGACTTTCAGGGTATCAAAGATGTTACTTTATTGGCCAAGTTTAAACTGCGCAGGGGCGAACTCTCAAAGTGTCCAGCGACACAGTGCCCACAAGGAGCTGCAAACGAGAGTCGCGCCGAGCGCTTACAACTACGTCCTTATATAGGGGCGGGCAAGCAAGCATTATACAGAAGCAGACGTGGCAGTTAGCAATTCGCTTACAAAGACCGAGCGCGGGAATTTCAAACCAAGCATTCTTGCATAAGGCGGGAAGGCAGGATGTTTGTTCATTAACCTAGTAATCTCCTGGCTCTAGCTAGCTAGGTTCTTATTTTCTCATTAAAACTACAAAGCATTGCTTATCTAGCCTACCCAGGGGAGAGCATCTGCTCAACACAGGATGTTTGCTTAACTGCATTTTGTCTCTTTTATCATTTCTTTTTAGCTACAATGTGGTTCTTGTTTACTAAGGTTAAATTTAGTTCTTAATTTCTTTATTCCCAACACAAACCAATTTAAAAAAAAGATTTGACTCCTTGCCATTGATAAAACACTCCTATTTAACTCTAGGCTAGTGAGTGTCTGCCCAGGTATGATTTTTACCCCCAGGTAGGGCTCCCGGATTTAGCAAATAAAAACACAGATATTCAATTAAATTTGAATTTTAGATAAGTTACTGAAATATCACATGGACTATCCTTAGAGTAAGAAATTATGTTTTGTTTGAATTAAATTTAAAAATATTTGACAATGTCTGGAGGCATTCCTGATTGTCACAACCAGAGCAGAGGCATGTGACTTACATCCAGGCCTGTACCAAAACATCCTACAGCAATACAGACAGCCTCCTGCAACAGATAGTTTTTCTGCCCAGTGCTACAGTGGAGAAACCCCAGTCTAGGCCAACAGGACAATTAAAGATGAAGAAAGAGAAATTTGATAAACTTACAGTGTTAGAATGGAATAGGTGGTAGAGAAGGGAAGAATTCTTTTTGTCTCCTCTTCTAGGTTCTTGGGTGGAACTTTGCAACAAAACACACATCAACAAGAGAAAAACAAAACTTTGTTAACATGTGCCTTTTATATACACATGGGAGAAACTCAGGGATATAAAGCTCAAAGAGGTGTTTAAAATTTAGGGCAAAACTGCAATGACATATGACCTCACACCTGTTAGAATGACTATAATCAAGAAGATAAGTGATAACAAGTGTAGGAGATGTCATAGAAAGAAAAGGAACCTTCATACACTGGTGGTGGGAATGTAAATTGGTATAGCCACTACGGAAACAGTATGGAGGTTCCTCAAAAAATTAAGAATAGAGTTACCATGTGACCCAGCAATTCCTATTTTGGGTATCTACCTGAAAAACGTGGAAACATTTACCTATAAAGTTATATGTATCCCTATGTTCATTGCAGCATTATTCATGGTGGCCAGGACATGGAGACAACCCAAGTGCCCTTCGGTAGATGACTGGATAAAGAAGACGTGGTACATGTATGCAATGGAATCCTCAGCCATGAGAGAAGATGAAATACTGCTATTTGTGCCAACATGGATGGATCTTGAGAATGTCGTGCTAAGCAAAATAAGTCAGATGGAAAAAGTAAGAACTACGTCATTTTTCACATGTGGATTATATAACTAAAAGCAACAAATGAGCAAACAAAACAAGTAAACAAAAAAATCATGGACACTGGCAATAGTATGATGGTTATCAGGGAAAAAGGGGGTTAGGAGAGGTAGCAAAAGTTAAAGGGGGTCAACTCTATGGTGACAAAAGGAGATTTAACTTTGGTGAAGACAATGTAATATACAGATGAAGTGTTATGGACTTGTATACCTAAAGCCTATATAATTTTATTAACCAATGTTACTCCAATAAATTTAATAATTTTTTTAAAAAGTAGAGCTGCCCTGGCCAGATAACTCAATTGGTTGGAGCCGTCGTTCTGATACACCAAGTTGCCTGTTCAGTTGCCTGTGCCCAGTAAGGGCACATAAAAAAACAGTGAATCCATGAATAGGTGGAACAACAAATCGATGTTTCTCTCTCTCTCCCTCCTCCCTCAAATAAATAAATAAATAAATAAATAATAAAAGGCTGATTCCTGGGGAAAAAAAGCAAGGTCATATATTATCTTAGGCTAAAGGAAAAGGGGTCCGAGACTTCTGGGAAGGAAGGGAAGCAGAGGATAGGCAAATTATTAAAAGGTGACCCGGTAAAGTATGGCAAAGAAGGATCGGTTAGTGAAGTTTGTTAGGCAGATTTAAGTCAGTGCCTTCTCTGTTGATAAGAGTTGTTGAGTCCTCTACAAATGAAAATGTCCTTCTTATAGATGTAAATTTATTTTACAAAAGGGAAACATTTGCCCTGCTGTTAGAGCTCTTTTTGTACCTGCTGGTTCTCAATGGCCTTTAGCTCAAAATAATCTATATGTCAAGGAAGCATGTTTTATGGTGTAATGTTTTGATAATCCTCATGGTGAAATACTGACATAATAAGGTCTGATAAACAGATAATTTTTTAAATTTTTATTTATTGATTTTCTCTAGAGAGAGGAACCTTCTAGGTTCTTTGGCTGGCCTAATAATTAAATTGATATAAGACAGATTAACAGAAAAAAACAAATTTAAATACATATGTGTGGGAACCCCATAAAGATAAGAAGACTCAAAAAGCAGCTGGTAATTGAAGCTTATATAACAC